AGGGGGGGGGGGCAGAAAAGCTGTTAGACGGGCCGCTATGTATGCCAGCCTAATCGTCTGCTTTGACCCATTCCATGCTGTATTCTCGCGTCTTTGAAACAGCTGGGTCAGGGTGACGAGAGGACGGTACAAGTTTATGCTTTAGACTAGAGGCGTAGAAGCAGCCATGCGTGTCGTCACGTATTCCTTCGCTTCCTAATAAAGACTAGGTTATACACAACCGGGAAGTTATTTCACTACCTGCATGATTTTGATTTTCCGGTCAGGTAAACCAGAACAATAAGTCAGACCTCTGGAAAGAAAATGCTTAGTTGTTGTTGTTGTTGTCGTTGTTGGCGTTCGTGTTGCTGCTGCTGTAGTTTTTTGTTTTGTCTTGTTTTTTGTTTTTGTCTTTATGGGGGTTGAGGGGTAATTTTGTTTTGTGTTTTAACGTCACTGTGACTTTTGGATATCCTTTCAAATTACTGCCATGTGAGACGTCTGTGCGATTTTGAATGAACAAGAAAAAAAAAATAGCATCGAAGCTTCGAAGCGTGAGCTCACTATTCATGACATTCGAATACCTCCATCGAATGTATTTTCTTATATATTATGATAAGCATAAACCCAGACCTAAATCAAAGATCGTGCATAACAAGATGTTCCCTCAGCCAAAAAAGTGTCCGCGGAAGTCCGCGCATTGGTTCAGATGGCGCTGCAGTCTTTGTTTTGTAGCTCTCTTTCGTTTCTTCAGAAGAAGAATAGGAATAGTACAGTTTGTTTGTTTCACTTTTATTGTTTTTCACACAATTAGGGTAACTCTGATCGCAAAGTCTGCACTTTTGTGAAGAGGGCGCCACAGAATTTTGAGGGTCGTATTTTCTTATATGTGATAAGTCCATATCTAACTTCCGCTATTCACAGCGTCGTCGAATAGTTTTTCTTATATAAGATAAGCACATAATTTCAAGTAGCGTTAGGGGAGCTAGCTCCTTGCGACAGCTAATTTCAAGGAAAAAAAAACATTCGTGGCGCTTCAAGAGTCAAGTGCCCTTGCTTGAGCTGTCTATAGTGTAACGAGTGAATATTGAATATTAAGAGATATTTTCTAAAGGAATGTTTTATAACTCTTGTAGGCTCCTCTTATCACTCTGTCTCGTAACCATCAAATAAAGAGTATTTTCTGTATATTTATCTTAATGATTTTAGATATAATGTGCTCCAATTTTCTACGTTTGAGTTTGAGAAAAATGAGACTAAAATCCATTACCTGTTATTTTTTAAAATCACACGGCATTCGAATGGCTCTACCATGCTTTGAATAGCTGGGAATAGTGCAAAAATCATGAATGTCGAAAAGTAAAGTCGAATGGGCGCAGCTCTACTGAGAAGTACCGTTTTTAGTCGTCCTTTGACATACTATATTATTGGATCTATTAATGTAACAAAAATGATTGACGTTTTTTTTTTTTAAAGAATGTCTTATCTGTTTGTAGCCCTGATCACGAACAAGTTTTCAATAAACAAAAGCAAAGCATAAACCAACAAAAAAAATTATAAAAATAAGTACATGCAGTACCCAGTTGCATAGAGCAGCGCCTTATTGTTGTGTTTTCGGCTCTACATACAACAATCTCATTTTCAGTTCCTCCAAAAAGGTATCTTTTGATCCAAATAAGACCTAAACTTGACTGACTGGTATAACAATATGGCGTACTTCAAAACAAAATCAATGTCATCCGTCTTGGCAGTTCTTGTTTCTGGAAGTCGAAAATCCTTCATTTTTTTAAATATTTCGAACCAATAATCTTGACTTATTGCCCTCATCACCCTTATATTATATGGAAAACTCCCCATTCTTCAAGGCACAATTTGTTCTCACTTGTTTTACATGGACTCTCATAAATGCGCGTGTGTGTGTAAGGGTGCACATGTGTTTACGTGTATTTGTGTATAACTATGTGTGTGGGAGGGGATTATGTGTCTGTTTATGTATTATGTTTATACTGTAGCTTTTTTATGTTTGAACGTATGTGTACGAATAAATATACGTGTGGAGTATTTGTGTAAGCATATGTGTATGTCTTGCTGTTGTTGTTGTTGTTGTTGTTGTTGTTATTGTTGTTGTTGTTGTTGTTGTTGTTGTTGTTGTTGTGTGTGTGTGTGTGTCAGGGTGCACATCAGTGTTCGTGTCGGTTAGTGTAGGGGTGTGGGTGTTTGTTGGAGTCTGTGTAGATATGAGTTTGCCCGTTTGTGCTCGTGTCCGTCTGTATGTATACAAGTGTATGTGTTAGTGAATGCGTGTATTGTGTGTGTGTGTGTTTGTGTGTATCTGTGTGTGTGTGTTTGTATCTGTGTATATCTGTGTGTATGTGTGTGATAGAAAAAGAGAGAATGTGTATGTGTGTGTGTGTGTGTGTGTGTGTGTGTGTGTGTGTGTCTTTGTGCATGTGTGTATGTGTGCGTGCGTGTGTGTGTGTGTGTGT